TTTCTTCACAGAGGGAGTGGTTGGACATGGGAGTGGTCTGCCCGGGGAGGTGGTGGAATCCCTGGGCCTCTCTGAGAAGAACCATGGATGTGGTGCCATGGTGAGGGTGATGAGGTGGGGTTGGGTCACAGGCTGGACTGGATGGTCCCAGAGGTCTTTCCCAACCCCATTGATCCTGTGATTCTGTGATTAGGAGGAATTTCTTCACAGAGGGAGTGGTTGGGCCTTGGAAGGGGCTGCCCAGGGAGATGGTGGAGTCCCTGGGTCTCTCTAAGAAGATACTGGATGTGGCACTCGGTGCCATGGTGAGGGTGACGAGGTGGGGTTGGGTCACAGGTTGGACTGGATGGTCTCAGACGTCTTTCCCAACCCCATTGATCCTGTGATTCTGTGATTAGGAGGAATTTCTTCACAGAAAGGGTGGTTGGACATGGGAATGGTCTGCCCAGGGCAATGGTGGGGTCCCTGGGTCTCTCTAAGAAGAACCTTGGATGTGGTGCCATGGTGTGGGTGATGAGGTGGGGTTGGGTCACAGGTTAGACTGGATGGTCTCAGAGGTCTTTCCCAACCCCACTGATCCTGTGATTCTGTGATTAGGAGGAATTTCTTCACAGAGGGAGCGGTTGGGCCTTGGAAGGGGCTGCCCAGGGAGGTGGTGGAGTCACCGTGCCTGGAGGTGTTTGAGAAGAACCTTGGATGTGGTGCCATGGTGTGGGTGACGAGGTGGGGTTGGGTCACAGGTTGGACTGGATGGTCTCAGAGGTCTTTCCCAACCCCATTGATCCTGTGATTCTGTGATTAGGAGGAGTTTCTTCACAGAGGGAGTGGTTGGACATGGGAATGGTCTGCCCAGGGAGGTGGTGGAGTCCCTGGGTCTCTCTGGAGTCCCTGGTCATCTCTGGATGTGGCACTCGATGCCATGGTGAGGGTGACGAGGTGGGGTTGGGTCACAGGTTGGACTGGATGGTCTCAGAGGTCTTTCCCAACCCATTTGATCCTGTGATTCTGTGATTCTGTGACACAACCTTGAGTTGCACTAGGGGAGGGTTTAGGTTGGACATCAGGAAGTTCTTCCCGGAGAGGGTGGTTGGACATTGGAAGGGGCTGCCCAGGGCAATGGTGGGGTCCCTGGGTCTCTCTAAGAAGAACCATGGACGTGGTACCATGGTGAGGGTGACGAGGTGGGGTTGGGTCACAGGTTGGACTGGATGGTCTCAG